TTGGAACCATATCTACATTGTTGTTTCGTATTTGAAGCTACATAAAACAGCAAAAATAAACAGCAGAAGAAGAGACGAAAATTCGATGCGGAAATCAATTGTATTCATAGATCAGCGGCTATGGCTCCAGCTATTTTCTAGTTCTTTTATCTCACGTATGACAAGGTTACGGAGGGTAACTCGCAGATACTGATCCTTTTTCGTTTATGCACAGATGACACTTTATTTTAATTCCACAAGATTCAGTCTTGATTCGCTCTACTTTCAGGAATAAAACTTGAAATTAGATTTTTCTAACTTATTGAGTGTTTGGATCACAGATACGATGGATCGTCTACCGCTCTTCAAATTCCCTCCTCTTTTCGCCAAGATCCTAACAGATTTAAAACAGGTCTGTATATGAATAGTGAAACAGTAACGATATCCTCACTTAAAGTTTTTTTTGTTGTTTGATCTGATTGATTGGATCTTCCTGAATTCATTGTATCTCCGATACTAGAAGCTTTTTGCGTATCATCATTACGATTACTTGCATGACTACGCGATGAACTCGAAGTATCAGCGTTCATATTTGATAGTTGATCATCAGGAGGAGCCACTGTATTAAGTGATGATGTTTGTGAAGGATGTTGAAAACGATCACAATGTGTCGAGTCAGACAGTTGACGACAATTGGAACCATATCTACATTGTTGTTTCGTATTTGAAGCTACATAAAACAGAAAAAAAAATATACGAAAAACAAATGAGAAAAGCTTAGACAGAGTACAGTTTCGTTTCGAAAAGTGAAGTAGGTCGCTTATTTGGGATGAAACCCAACGTAAGCTAGTTGCGTTTCATACACTTTTTCATAGTTCTATTGATAGATCATAAATATTAGATGCTGAGTACCACCATAAGTCAAGTGGTTGCTATGCCACTAGATTGAATCATGTTCCGAAAAAATTTACTCTATGCAAATGAAATCTGAACGATAATAAATTTCATACAGGAATGACATGTGTTGTAAAATTGATCTCCCTAATGAACTTGCGAGATAATATCTTGTTACTTACCACTATCTGTAGTAGAAAAATTTGTTGGTGCAACATTCCATATGTCGTTAGACGGTGTATTAATATCGGAATTCTTTGTTGTACTATAAAATAGATTTTCGAAAGTTTCAAAATTTTTCAACATAGTAGATAACTTGTTTCGATACTATTGTCAGCTCGACTTTTCAAATGAAGCATTCGTGCGCCCTTTGAGAAAACGAGAATAGCACTGATTACAGACTCCACTTTCACCACTTCTACTACCATATGATTAATCGCTTTCAAGTCCACACTACTCAATTTGTAGGGACCAGTAAGTGTGTAAACAATCTACGGTGTTTGAATCGTCTGCGTAGTTCTTTGATGAGATATTGCATTTTCAGAGTGGAATCTCTTATTAAGGTTGACTCTATCTGTGGTTTTTTGAGGTTTCGGCGATACAAGCTTCGACCTAGTTCACGAGAAGGGTGAGTGTAGGTGAGTTATGCTTGTAGCTCTTCTTTTCATTCTCACCTACGTGAAAACCCACACTTGCACAATAAAATTCTTACTTAGATATTTATATCTTTTGATCTGAAAAAAATTGTACTTAGGGTTATCCAAAAGTTCTGGCGTCATTATCTTATTTTCTTATAGAAAGCTTAAAAAAAAATTTCTCTTTTTATGAACAGATAGGACGTCTCTCGTTCTATTTTTCTATGCTATTTGATCATTATTCAACTAATGTCATAATAATAAAATTTCGATAAGAACTGTTTTTGTTGAAAGCTAGCTGATGGTATATTAGATCATAACTAGGGGTGGCACTTTATCTTTATTTCACTTTATTAAAGTAAAGTAAAGTAAAGCATTTGGCTTTACTTTACTCAGTAAAGTAAAGTTGGGTTACTTTATTTTACCCGATAAAGTAAAGTTAATCTACTTTACTTTATCGAGTAAAGTAAAGTGGATCTACTTTATCCGAAAAGTAAAGTAAAGTAAAGTAAAGTACAGTGAAGTATCTCTAACTTTATCAAACAAGCAAGATATAGTAAAATAAGATAAAGTAAAGCATGCAGTTGATGGTTATTCATTTATTAGTTTATTATCACACATTAATCACACTCTAATACGTCAAAAGTTGCGTCGACTTACGGATCGGAGGTCCCAAAAAGTTTAAATCTGATTTTATGACTTTGGAAGTCAGCATCGAACTCTGAATATTCTTCATAATTCTGTATTCCACATGAT